AAATATTTATATTTTTACTTGCAACTTAACAGCTTATGCGTGACACGTGCTATCGACTGTTCTGCTGCAATAATTAAAAAAAATGTATGGGGAATCTGCTTGTGGAGTGAACAGACGTTTAAACGTTACAGCCATTTTGATGAATACGTGCAGTAGACGCATAAACACAACAAAAAATATGAAATGCAGTTTACGTGATGAGAAACTCATAATCGTGATCATCCTTAACATCGTAAAATTTGTACTTTACAGGAATGAACACCACTTGGCCCCAATTACCTGCACGTGCCCCCAGAACAACGTTGACTTTTCAATGCTGTATTTAAATGGTGCTGTTTCTCTATGATCACTCTTCTTCTACACTTTTGTTTTACGAACTCATTATTTGTACAATACCTTGTTTCCGTGTGCAGTTTCCAACGGTTCTATGCAGCGTGTTGGTCTCATTTTTGTTCTCCATGCTGGTTCTCAATAAACTTACCCGAGTGAATAATGCGTGGGTACGCATTCATAATGTCCACATGCTCACGGGGTACACGTATAACGTCTGTATTTTACACCATGGCCAGTTGTATGCATTAACTTACCCCCCCTCCCCCCCCCCCCCTAAAATCATGGCACATTCTCAATTGTGCTTGCGACATTGCGTCTTTACAGGACAAATCTAAGATCCACTCGGAATCCTTGCAGTTGAACAGTGCCATCCATCACCTTGTGTCTTGACAATCGCCCCTGGAAGCGGATGTCATTACATTCGCGTCTCGAGCGACTTTAATAATAAGGGTCATCATTACACACAAGTTGTACGGTGAAAACGTCTTTGGCACCATACGTAGCCAACCCCGCTAATCGGAGGTCCAGTGGCTTTGTTCACATCTGCCCTTTAACCTGCCCTGCAATGACCGCTTGAGGGGGTATGGTTAACAAAATAAACTCAATTGTGTCGACACAAAACGTATAAACCAACAACATTTAAGTAATACTCTTGGTTCTTTCGGTAAAAGTCACGTAGAGGGGAAACAATAAAATAATAAAAAACATAAAACAATAAAATTCTCACGACGTTTCGCCAACACAAGCAGTCATCGTCACCTTGCAGTCGAAAACAGTGGTGAGAATTTTATTGCATTATACATTTTTTTAAAATCATTTTATTTTGATTTAAAGCTTTCGTGACTGCAGTAATTCATATTCTTAGTTTTTTCGGTAAAGTCACGTTGAAGAGAAACAACAAAATAACAAAATATATATAAAACAATAAAAAATTCTCACGACGTTTCGACCATAACTCAAACGGTCATCATCAGGTGTGTCGGTTTGCATAAATTTATTTTGAAAACGGCATATTTATTTATATATATAAAAATAACGTTTGCGTCACGCGCAACGATGGCAGTTTGCCAGGACTAGTCCATCTATTTTTTGAAAAGAGGAGGGGGGAGACGAAATTTGTTTTTATGTATGCTGTCTGAAAGGCACTGTAAGCGTGAACAATCAATCAAGAACTAAACAGGCTCACATGCCATTGACTTTTCCAAGACGGAGGTTCTTTGTAAGCCATCTGGCTTCCATGAGAGATTCGTTCATGAGGCTATCCACATATACAAACACAGAGACAATTTCAACCGAGAAGATGGATTCTATCTTAGCAATCATTGGAAAGATTTGATAAATCATTTCAGTTCTTGATTGATTGTTCACGCTTACAGTGCCTTTCAGACAGCATACATAAAAACAAATTTCGTCTCCCCCCTCCTCTTTTCAAAAAATAGATAGACTAGTCCTGGCAAACTGCCATCGTTGCGCGTGACGCAAACGTTATTTTTATATATATAAATAAATATGCCGTTTTCAAAATAAATTTATGCAAACCGACACACCTGATGATGACCGTTTGAGTTATGGTCGAAACGTCGTGAGAATTTTTTATTGTTTTATATATATTTTGTTATTTTGTTGTTTCTCTTCAACGTGACTTTACCGAAAAAACTAAGAATATCATTTTATTGTTTACCCTTCTACGTGACTTTACCGAAAGAACCAAGAATATGAATCCCCCTGCAGTCACGAAAGCTTTTAAATCAAAATGTAACATTAAAGTCCACCGGTATATACACGAGCTATCCGTGGCAATGTTGACCTTTACAAACTTGCACTGCTGCGCGAACTCTCTCGCTACTTGCTCAATAACCTACGACTGCTTGGGACCGGCTGTGGTGGAGGAATCTCGATTAGTTTGCGGTACGAGGAACCACGGTTGAGGCCACGATACAACAGCGATAAGAGTAACACGAGTGACTTGGTAAGCGCTTGATCCATCAGTCACACACACACGCGCACACAGTGAGACCACGACCACAGCTGATGTTGCTGTTATAGAGATCGGCACACACACACGCACACAGTGAGACCACGACCACAGCTGATGTTGCTGTTATAGAGATCGGCACACACACGCACACACCGCGAGCATGAATGGCTCTGCGTAGTTGTACACTGCGAGTCGTGGATATGTATGGTACGTGGTGTGGTGTAGCTGCAGGCTTTGTTTTTCGCGTCAAAATGTGTCGTTAAACCCGCCGCCACCCGACACAGCCAATTAGTAAGGTTTGTCACGTAAACAGAACGTGCTAATTCGTTACTAGTACAGCACGCCGGCGAGGCTAGTTGTAATTACTGGCGAAACGTCGTACTCGGATTGTAAATGTTGTGGCTTGGCTCTCCAACACGCCGGTTAGTGCTGTACTAGTGACGAATTGTCATTTTTGTTTGCGTGACTTACTAATTGGCTGTCGTGTTTAACGACACATTTAGATATTTACGCTATAGAACCCCAAAAAAACCTATAATATGGATATTGGTCGCGAAAGCCTACGCGTTAAACTATACTGTAGATATCCAAGTGTGTAGTGTATACTGTAGCTATCCACGTGTGCAGTAGCTATCAAGTGTGCTGTGTATATTGTAGCTATCAAGTGTGCTGTGTATACTGTAGCTATCTATGTGTGCTGTGTATACTGTAGCTATCCAAGTGTGCTGTGTACATTGTAGCTATCAAGTGCGCTGTGTATATTGTAGCTATCCAAGTGTGCTGTGTATACTGTAGCTATATATGTGTGCTGTGTATATTGTAGCTATCCAAGTGTGCTGTGTATACTGTAGCTATCTATGTGTGCTGTGTATATTGTAGCTATCCAAGTGTGCTGTGTATATTGTAGCTATCCAAGTGTGCTGTGTATACTGTAGCTATCCAAGTGTGCTGTGTATATTGTAGCTATCAAGTGTGCTGTGTACATTGTAGCTATCCAAGTGTGCTGTGTACATTGTAGCTATCAAGTGTGCTGTGTATATTGTAGCTATCCAAGTGTGCTGTGTATATTGTAGCTATCTATGTGTGCTGTGTATATTGTAGCTATCTACGTGTGCTGTGTATACTGTAGCTATCTATGTGTGCTGTGTATACTGTAGCTATCTGTGTGCTGTGTATACTGTAGCTATCTATGCGTGCTGTGTATATTGTAGCTATCTATGTGTGCTGTGTATATTGTAGCTATGTGTGCTGTGTATATTGTAGCTATCCAAGTGTGCTGTGTATATTGTAGCTATCCAAGTGTGCTGTGTACATTGTAGCTATCAAGTGTGCTGTGTATATTGTAGCTATCCAAGTGTGCTGTGTATACTGTAGCTATCCAAGTGTGCTGTGTATACTGTAGCTATCCAAGTGTGCTGTGTACATTGTAGCTATCAAGTGTGCTGTGTACATTGTAGCTATCAAGTGTGCTGTGTACATTGTAGCTATCAAGTGTGCTGTGTACATTGTAGCTATCAAGTGTGCTGTGTATATTGTAGCTATCCAAGTGTGCTGTGTATACTGTAGCTATCTATGCGTGCTGTGTACATTGTAGCTATCAAGTGTGCTGCGTATATTGTAGCTATCTATGTGTGCTGTGTATATTGTAGCCATCTATGCGTGCTGTGTATATTGTAGCTATCTATGCGTGCTGTGTATATTGTAGCTATCAAGTGTGCTGTGTATATTGTAGCTATCCAAGTGTGCTGTGTATATTGTAGCTATCAAGTGTGCTGTGTACATTGTAGCTATCTATGCGTGCTGTGTATATTGTAGCTATCTATGTGTGCTGTGTATATTGTAGCTATGTGTGCTGTATATATTGTAGCTATCCAAGTGTGCTGTGTATACTGTAGCTATCCACGTGTGCTGTGTATATTGTAGCTATCAAGTGTGCTGTGTATATTGTAGCTATCCAAGTGTGCTGTGTATACTGTAGCTATCCACGTGTACTGTGTATATTGTAGCTATCAAGTGTGCTGTGTATATTGTAGCTATCCAAGTGTGCTGTGTATACTGTAGCTATCTATGTGTGCTGTGTACATTGTAGCTATCAAGTGTGCTATGTACATTGTAGCTATCAAGTGTGCTGTGTATATTGTAGCTATCTATGTGTGCTGTGTATATTGTAGCTATCCAAGTGTGCTGTGTATATTGTAGCTATCAAGTGTGCTGTGTATATTGTAGCTATCTATGTGTGCTGTGTATATTGTAGCTATCCAAGTGTGCTGTGTATATTGTAGCTATCTATGCGTGCTGTGTATATTGTAGCTATCCAAGTGTGCTGTGTATATTGTAGCTATCCAAGTGTGCTGTGTATACTGTAGCTATCTATGCGTGCTGTGTATATTGTAGCTATCCAAGTGTGCTGTGTATATTGTAGCTATCTATGCGTGCTGTGTACATTGTAGCTATCAAGTGTGCTGTGTACATTGTAACTATCTATGTGTGCTGTGTATATTGTAGCTATCTATGTGTGCTGTGTATATTGTAGCTATCTATGTGTGCTGTGTATATTGTAGCTATGTGTGCTGTGTATATTGTAGCTATGTGTGCTGTGTAGATTGTATTAATGTGTATGTGTATATTGTATTAATGTGTATGTGTATAATCGATGTAGTTACTAACGCCCCACGTGTGCGCGGCTCACCCCGGGCACGGCTGCCCCGGCTCGGCGCCGGCTGCCCCCGCCTCGTCGGGGCCCGGTGCGCAGCCCCGCCGGAGCAGCTTCTCCAACAGTCCCGACGGCATCGCCTCTCTTCTGCCGCCTACACCTCCTCCTCGTCACCGTCTCCACCTCTTCACCACCACCTCATCACCCTCCTCCCCTCTCTTCCCCCCTTTTATCGCCCCCTCCCTCCCTCCCACCACCAACCCCCCGCGCGCACGTGACGCGAGCACGAGACGCGTGTCAGCTGGAAGCCACGTGACCGCGCTGCTGCCAGCTGCGCTGGTCACGTGACGTGCCTCGACCCGGGGCTCCACCCTCCATGGGGGCAGTCCCCCACGCCCCCCGCCCGCCGCCCTCACGTCCCCCGCCCCTCTCCCCCATGCCCCGACCGCTCACGCCCCCGCCCCCTACGCCCCCCGTACTTCGGACCCAGCCCCACCCCCCACGAACTCGGCCCCTCCTCTCTCGGGTGCAGCCACCCCCACTAATATTGATTGCCCCCCCCCCTTACAAATAACCCAACATATTTAGTTTAAAATCGTACAAATCAATTTACTTTCGTTTTAACATTTTAATCAATCCACCGTTCGTTCTTTTCTTCCCCATCTCTTCCAGCAGGCGCTTTCTCATTAATTCAGACACAGATTGTCTGAACGTGGATTGCGCTGCTGCTAATTGTGGTGCTGCTGCTGGTGGTGGTCCTGGTGGTGCTGCTGTTGGTGGTCCTGGTAGTGCTGTTGGTGGTGGTCCTGGTGGTGCTGCTGGTGGTGGTCCTGGTAGTGCTGCTAATTGTGGTCCTGGTGGTGCTGTTGGTGGTGGTCCTGGTGGTGCTGCTGGTGGTGGTCCTGGTGGTGTTGCTGCTGGTGGTGGTCCTGGTGGTGCTGCTGGCGGTGGTCTTGGTGGTGCTGCTGGTGGTGGTCCTGGTGGTGCTGCTGGTGGTGGTCCTGGTGGTGCTGCTGGCGGTGGTCCTGGTGGTGCTGTTGGTGGTGGTCTTGGTGGTGTTGCTGGTGGTGGTCTTGGTGGTGCTGCTGGCAGTGGTCTTGGTGGTGCTGCTGGCGGTGGTCCTGGTGGTGCTGTTGGTGGTGGTCCTGGTAGTGCTGCTAATTGTGGTCTTAGTGGTGCTGCTGGTGGTGGTCTTGGTGGTGCTGCTGGTTGTGGTCCTGGTGGTGCTGCTGGTGGTGGTGCTGCTGGTGGTAGTCTTGGTGGTGCTGCTGGTGGTGGTCCTGGTGGTGCTGCTAATTGTGGTCTTAGTGGTGCTGCTGGTGGTGGTCCTGATGGTGCTGCTGGTGGTGGTCTTGGTGGTGCTGTTGGTGGTGGTCTTGGTGGTGCTGCTGGTGGTGGTCTTGGTGGTGCTGTTGGTGGTGGTCCTGGTGGTGCTGTTGGTGGTGGTCTTGGTGGTGCTGCTGGTGGTGGTCCTGGTGGTGCTGCTGGTGGTGGTCTTGGTGGTGCTGCTGGTTGTGGTCCTGGTGGTGCTGCTGATGGTGGTCCTGGTGGTGCTGCTGGTAGTAGTCTTGGTGGTGCTGCTGGTGATGGTCCTGGTGGTGCTGCTGGTGGTAGTCTTGGTGGTGCTGCTGGTGATGGTCCTGGTGGTGCTGTTGTTGGTGGTCCTGGTGGTGCTGCTGGTGGTGGTCCTGGTGGTGCTGTTGGTGGTGGTCTTGGTGGTGCTGCTGGTTGTGGCCCTGGTGGTGCTGCTGGTGGTGGTCCTGGTGGTGCTGCTGGTGGTGGCCCTGGTGGTGCTGCTGGTGGTGGCCCTGGTGGTGCTGCTGGTTGTGGTCTTGGTGGTGCTGCTGGTGGTGGTCCTGGTGGGGCTGCTGGTTGTGGTCCTGGTGGTGCTGCTGGTGGTGGTCCTGGTGGTGCTGCTGGTGGTGGTCCTGGTGGTGCTGCTGGTGGTGGTCCTGGTGGTGCTGCTGGTGGTGGTCCTGGTGGTGCTGCTGGTGGTGGTCCTGGTGGTGCTGCTGGCGGTGGTCCTGGTGGTGCTGTTGGTGGTGGTCCTGGTGGTGCTGCTGGTGGTGGTCCTGGTAGTGCTGCTAATTGTGGTCTTAGTGGTGCTGCTGGTGGTGGTCCTGATGGTGCTGCTGGTGGTGGTCTTGGTGGTGCTGCTGGTTGTGGTCCTGGTGGTGCTGCTGGTGGTGGTGCTGCTGGTGGTAGTCTTGGTGGTGCTGCTGGTGGTGGTCCTGGTGGTGCTGCTAATTGTGGTCTTAGTGGTGCTGCTGGTGGTGGTCCTGATGGTGCTGCTGGTGGTGGTCTTGGTGGTGCTGTTGGTGGTGGTCTTGGTGGTGCTGCTGGTTGGGGTCCTGGTGGTGCTGCTGGTGGTGGTCTTGGTGGTGCTGTTGGTGGTGGTCCTGGTGGTGCTGTTGGTGGTGGTCTTGATGGTGCTGCTGGTGGTGGTCCTGGTGGTGCTGCTGGTGGTGGTCTTGGTGGTGCTGCTGGTTGTGGTCCTGGTGGTGCTGCTGGTGGTGGTCCTGGTGGTGCTGCTGGTGGTAGTCTTGGTGGTGCTGCTGGTGATGGTCCTGGTGGTGCTGCTGGTGGTAGTCTTGGTGGTGCTGCTGGTGATGGTCCTGGTGGTGCTGTTGTTGGTGGTCCTGGTGGTGCTGCTGGTGGTGGTCCTGGTGGTGCTGTTGGTGGTGGTCTTGGTGGTGCTGCTGGTTGTGGCCCTGGTGGTGCTGCTGGTGGTGGTCCTGGTGGTGCTGCTGGTGGTGGCCCTGGTGGTGCTGCTGGTGGTGGCCCTGGTGGTGCTGCTGGTTGTGGTCTTGGTGGTGCTGCTGGTGGTGGTCCTGGTGGGGCTGCTGGTTGTGGTCGTGGTGGTGCTGCTGGTGGTGGTCCTGGTGGTGCTGCTGGTGGTGGTCCTGGTGGTGCTGCTGGTGGTGGTCCTGGTGGTGCTGCTGGTGGTGGTGCTGCTGGTTGTGGTCTTGGTGGTGCTGCTAGTGGTGCTGCTGGTTGTGGTCCTGGTTGTGGTCCTGGTGGTGCCTGGTGGTGCTGCTGTTTGTGGCCCTGGTGGTGCTACTGGTTGTGGTCCTGGTGGTGCCGCTGGTGGTGGTCCTGGTGGTGCCGCTGGTGGTGCCGCTGGTGGTGCCGCTGGTGGTGTTTTTTTTCAGATGACGCTTACACATTTCAAATACGGCATGTGAACATTATAGTTAAAGCCTACTTGTTAAAATTATTTAAACGTTATTGAATTCTCAGCAAATTCAGAAAGGGCTTTTTTCGCATGATGGCACCGATTTTACAAGACTCCGTTCAGTGCTCTAAAATTGATAATGTGTGGTCCCGCTGCTGTGAACAATGTCTGTATTGAAACCCTTGTTTTAAGTTGTTTTCAGTTCCTCCTGGGGTGGCGCTGTTGTCTCCATCCTCGAATCTCACCCAGATCCGAGTGAACGCTGGCAAACACAATGCGGACGTGCAGAATATACACTCAACATCATCCCACCTACTCCTGGCTTTGACATTCCTCGTTGAGGACACTGGTGTATCCATCAACGCCATCAGAACATCAACAGGCCGATGCTGCATCAAATCTCCTTCATGAATGGGAAATTAAAGACAAGCCGCTTGAGCGTGATTGCGTCCTTGCAACTCGAACTGTTGGCCATATAAACCCATAAGGACACAAATATTCTAATAAAGATAGAGAGACCCATAGATTACCATCGAGGGGTTTATTCTGAACGTCAGCGCTGTTCCACTCGCCCAGGAGTCGGCAACCACATTAACAAGAATATCAATTTTGTTTGTCAAATTCGGTAACAAAAAAAATATCCCATCAATATTTCAAGAGCCGCATCGCAAGTGAATACGAGACGGTGGTCCTTAATAGATCGCTCACGTCACGAAGCAGTCTTTTATAGAGCCGCACAGGTGACCGACCCCGTGCTGACTCGCCGGCTTCACGTCAGCTGATAATTCATCAATCAGAACAACAACACCCTCCCTGGCTCTGGTGCCACCTGGGCGCAGCACACGGCAACAGCAGCCGTAGATTTCCAGCCGCTTTGCTCGCCACGATGAGTGCAAGATCAGCGCAGCGCTCCCTGCAGGCATACATTCATTTATAATAGAGGTTTTTGTTGGGGGGGGGGGGGTTATATCGCGTAAATATATAGATGTGTCGTTTTAAACCCGCCACAACCCGACAAAGCCAACTACTTGGTTATACTGTATATATTTACGCGATCTAACAAGAAAAAAACCCGATATTAAGCATGATATTGGTCGCGAAAGCCTACGTGATAAATTCATTTATCGCTCCATCTCCATCCGCAGTGATTTTTTTTTCTCCCCACGCTGTTTCAGCGATTACTTTTGTTAAACTCGAATTTGGCGTTTCTTTGCTTTTTTTTTCTCACTCAACGTTAGCATGCTTTGCGTTGTTTTACTTGGTTTTCCAGTTTCTCGACAGCGAGTTCATGGACACACGACCCCCACACAGCGCAGGGGAGTTGCATCAGTGGCACGGGGCGTTCGAGGCGCTCCGAGAAAGCGTTGCGATCTTGCCGAGTCCGTGTGATTGGCACACCCAGCCAGGGTGATGGCACATTGGATGGTGAAAAATCACCAATTAGGTTAAACATTAATTTTAATCATACATTCAGGTTTGAATCACAGCACATGGAAAGTTGGTTTTGCTGCGCCCGGCACAAGGCGTGCGTATAAAATGAGGCGTTGTAGCGAGGCCCTATTATCCAGCAGGGGGCCCTGATGGTCCAGGAGACGGGCTGGACGCGCGTCTACTCACCTGCCTGCTTGCACTTTCATTTGAAGGTTTCCACAATTAGGGAGCCTTGGTTTCGTGTTTGTCTTCAAGCTTGTATCTTCCTCCGTAAGGTCCCCACTCCTCGTGCTCTCCCCTGAAATATCCCTCAGCACCCTTTCTCGAATGTTCCCTCACCGTATTTCCCTTAGACAATCCCTGTCCTTTCCGTCTAACTAACGGACACAAACTGTCGCCTCTGGGATCCAATTTGTTTCCCGCCTATTCTCATTCGAAACTTTTCCTCCAAGGGGCCGTCCATAAATGACGTCACGCGATTTTGGACGATTTTTGACCCCCTCCCCCCCCCCTCGTCACACGGCGTCACAAAAAGTCAGACCCCCCCTCAAATATGACGTCACAAAGCTCTGCCCCCCCCCCCCCCCCCCCCACAAAAAAATAAAACATGCTTCAAATCGCTTTAAACTATTGTTATTGTAGTGCGTATTTAATGTGGCGCTGCACTCTGATGTTGTAGGAGAAAACATTTATTAAAAATTATTTAATGAAGTAGAACGTGTTGTCTATATTTATTTAAAGTTGCGCATTTTGATGTGACGTCACATTTCTGAACCCCCCCCCTCTCGTCACACATCTTCGCAAATGTCTGACCCCCCTCCCCCCCTAGGTGCGTGACGTCATTTACGGACGGCCTCCAATCACTTCAAAAGCCTGCCTCCTGAACAATCCCTGTGGAGGCCTCTTTCCTCCAATCGGAGACCTTGGTTTATCGTTGAATATCCATTATGCTGGACATTGGCTCGGGGTCAATTTCGGTCATTACACCTGGAAAGCACTCTCTGCTGTCATTGTGAATGAAATAGCATAATTGTGCACTCTGCGGAATGCAACGGTGATCAGGAATGGGACTCCGACCCCAACCTGCACAGCAGAGTACGGGGCGCGTTCCCAATTTATATTTGGGCGGACTTCATACTGACGTGGAGGGTGTTTCTGATCACTTGTTGATACGCAATTGACCTTCTGAAGAACACATTGAAAAGGAAGTTTCACCGTTTCACCAACTCCCCGGTGCTTAGCTTTTGTGGAGTCGCCCACTTCTCCGGAGGACAGAACACAACGCGGAGTACCGACTCGTCGTCTCTGAACCTTAATATTTGTATTGTTATTTTTGTTGTCTATTTATCCGACTTGTCCCCCTGCATAGGATTAACGATGGGAGGATGGACAGGGTGGACCGGCTGCCCTCGCTGCTACTCTCAAAAATACAATGGCAGCCGATGGATAGGCCTAACCATAGCCCTAACTGCAACTCGATTTGTCCCTTCTCTCCTGAACATGAAGACATGCCTAGTAACGCATCCATTACAAAATAAACTCGGATTGCCGGCAGCAGTCTGTCTCACGACTGTGCTTAAATAAATAAAAAGGTGGACAACTGGATTCAGAAAATGTTAAGCAGGTGATAGACAATATTTAATAACAGGTTGACATTGACAAAGAAGATGAATCCTTGCAGTCACGAAAGCTTTAAATCGAAATTGACTACAAGTCATGCACAATCAAATGAAGTAGCAAATGAGAACTAATAATTGGCCAGCAACAAATGAGATTTTAGAGAAATGTATCAGGACAATTAAATAATGTAATCACATAATAGAAAACGTTATCTTGCTTGATAACGCAAATTTAAAAAAACATTTGTGACGTAAAAAAGTAAATCTATGAGACCAGAATCACAAGCCACGCTATACGGAAAAAAATCAATTAGCCACAAAATATAAGCCTATTCGAACAATTACAAACTGTATTGGCTACATTTCTCTTAAGCATGCTATTACGTCTTTATTAATATTTTAAAACAATGCACATCTAAATAATAATTGCTTGATTAAAATAATTATGAATGCAGTCTAATTATACTGGCTAAACAGAACGGAAATCTGTCAAAAAGCTGGACAAACAGCACTAAGCTTGATCACAGTTAAGTGCTCCTGGCTTTAATTAAAATCATTATTCATCCAGTTCTGCGACGTCCCAGACAAATTTCAAATCGCAGCCTTCCATCTTCTTAGCATAGACCGTATCGAATGCCTCACTCAACGCCACGGTGAATTCACTTTTCCAGTTGCCAACTGCGCCTGAAAATAACCAGATGGAAAGATTTAGTATGACAAAAGTCACGCAAATTTGCATCATTAGACCTCCTTTGCCAGTACCAAAATGTAATAATAGGGGTTTTCCCCTTTTTTTCTGGCAACAAAAGTGAAACTTTTTTTACGAGGATTCATGTCTGCATTAACCACAATACCTGCAGTCAAAATGCAAACAAAAAACATACTATGATAGTATATGCATTGTCCTTGAAACTGATTGGTCCACACCAAGGGACGGCTTTCTTTTGAGCCTCGGCCCAATTGGCTGCAGGTATTGTGGTTAATGCAGACATGAATCCTTGTAAAAAGGTTTCAGTTTTGTTGCCAGAAAAAAAGGGGGAAAACCCTATTATTCCACCCAAATTTGTTTGTGTGAGTACACTGAGTGGTAGTGGAATGGTGAGCGCGCTGGGCTACAAACCCGGCGACTCGAGTTTGATTCCTGATCATGGCCAGTCCTGGGCCCTCCTAGGTTAACTACAAATATCGCCACAAGGGAGACAAAGGCGGCGAGGCATGGTGTTGGTCACCCATCCCCTTGTATGCGGTGCTGGCCTATACAGGTGCTCGCTAACAGCACTTGCCCCACAAAGTCTGTTCAGGCTTTATATGGGGAATCTTTTTATTTGCACTGATATCAAATTCCTTACATTGTGCTGGATATAATAGTCACCTACATGGCATATTGTGGGGCACCTCAGTGTGGTTCTTTGACAATAGGGATGATGTAAATGTGATGTATCATGACCAATACATATTAACAATCCATATCCCTTTTTCACTTTATCTAGCCGAGTGGTGTTGTGGTTACATTTTCCCACCCCGCAGATTCAATTCCAATCAGACTTTCATTCCAAGTGAGTGACTGACTCAGAGGCACTAAGAGTAGGAGGCACTCTGTTTATTAACACGGCCTAACACTTATTAACTACAGTTCCCAGTCAGGACAGCTGGTAGACTGCCTGACGGTGAAGACTCCAGCAGCAGCACGATGGGGATCCCACTCCAAGCGACAGCCCCGAGGTCCCCTCCCGGGGCCCCTCTCATACTGTCAGCGTGCCCTGGCTCCGCCCCCGGCCACGCCCCCTTATGGAACCTACTAGCGGGTTCTCGGTGTGCACTTTCCGTAACCCCCTAGATCCCTCTCTCTGGTCTATCACCAGGGCTGCTGTAAGCTGCAGATCCCCTTCCCTGCCAGCAACCAGCGTTATGCTGTTACGTGACCGATTCTATGTCATTTACAAAAGTACCACTTGGCAGTATCAAGACAGCAAGAGTTATGTGTCCCACCAACGAAAGTGGGTAACACCTCACATCTTTACTGACCAGGGAGATGCTTTAGCAGATCTTGCATGTCACTAGTTCTGAACATTTTACCTTTTCGCATGAACGTTCCAACGTTATGGTCTAGCCAATTGTTAGGGACGAGCGAGTAGTTGGCCATCGGGCTCTTCTTCATGCTGGAGAAGGTGCAGTGCTCTGCGATGGTGTCCAGGGCCGACTCGCTGAGTGGGCGCTTCATGAAGTCTGCAATTCGCTTCACGCTACCGCGCAGATCCTGCACACGTGGTCCACGCCACACCGACACAGTCATTCGTTTAGGATCGTCAACCGTCAAATCGAAGGTGTCTCCCTGCCCCCAACTCACCACAACTCAAACGAGTGTGGAATGCTGCCACCGGGCTTAGGTGGCCCTTAGACAGCGGTGCAAATGCCACATGTCTGTCTTAAGAATCGCACTATATATTTGTTTTTATCATTGGAAGAACTTTTCTTCACAAACGATTTGGTTTTCATGATGGTAAACTTCCAATCCTAGATTAGACATATTTCAAGTATTGCTGTGGTTAGAGTGTCTGGCTCACAAAAATAAGTTTACATCTTGATCAGGAGCTTATTTGGCACATCATCTCTCCACAGTGTATCAAATGAGTGCCCTTTTGAGGGCAGTTAACAGTGGTCAGTCTGAGGATAGACTGGCTAAAGCATAGAAATGCGTAAATTCCACACACAGCTTACGACTACCAATGGAGATAAGCACTGTGCCACTGCTCCATTGAGCAGGGAGACACTCTGATCTTCGCCTTGACACACTGCACATGATAACAGACACTTAAGTGTCTACGACGTAACACAGATGCTTTACAGTTGACGACACTAACCTTAACCATGTCTTCAAACGAGATGATGAAGATGTTAGGGGCGTCCTTGTGTTCGTGCCATCCCCGTACGTGGGTGAACCACGACCCTCCCGTTAATTGAGCTGTGGAAATATAACAAAGACGATGAAATGTCATGGGTTTTCATACATGCAGTACGCATTTACATCATCCCCCCCAGAATGTTCCCGTGTTAAGACATATCCCTTTAACGAAGCCCCCAAGATTACCAAAATATGTGGTAATTGCCCACCCTAATGTTGAATAATTTTACACATATGCAAAATAAGTGTTGCCATCGTCAATCAGTAACCCATCTCTTCATTTAAAACATGCACTAAAAAGACTTTTGATTCTCCACGTAGTTGTGAAAACGAGCAGAACTCGCTTAGCGCGCGACCCTGTAAGAACGCTGATTAGTCATAGCGCTCTTTGTTCTGGAAGCATATATTTTAAAGAAAAAAAAAAGAAAATCCAAAAAGCGTTTACGAGTGAGAACCCGCAGCGGCTGTCTTTGTTTCCATTTGCTCGGCCAACGAGAGCGACGAAAGATCCGAGCCAACCAGCGCCCCTTCGATTCGATTATCACGATTCGTGGTCTCGCGTACATTTTTTTATTTTATTGTAGTGTTTGTTACGTAATGTTATTCCAGTACGCTCTAAGCCACGCAGCACCCGCCAGTGTGTTTACTCAACCTTGGTCTCCCTCTAACTTATTTTCGCGTGTTTCGGTGAGCATTTTAGACCCATAATATCTGGAAAGAGACCTGCAAGTGTTAGTGCTGGAAATGTGACCAAAGGTGTCAAGGAAAAGGATCACTCTGGATGCTACAATGCAAGTGATGAGACGGGTGAGCGTCAGGTTGATGGACTGGTGAGCACAGTTTATAATACTGACGTTATAATGATAAAAAAAAATGAAATAATGGTTACCATCTATATTATTAACGCTGCTTACCGATAACCCAACAAAGCCCTCATATTTTGCTTATACGTAAGAAATAACACAATCTGGATAGCATCCCCATATATGCAACGGTATGATGATCGCTTTCAGTGCTCATTCAATAAGCGCTCATTTATCCTGGAAACCACCTTGAGTGCTAAGATAGAGTTGAATGCAACAAACCTTTATTGCTCACAAAATTGCGGAAACATTCTTCAAGAGTTCCCATATCGGTAAGAAACTGTGCAAACTTTGAAAAGTGATGAATTGACACCATAACGTCCTTCGGATTGCGAATAACATAGATGGCCTAAAATAAGACACAAATAAGTAGGAATGAATTACCATACACATTTAAAAAAGATGAATCCATTTAATTAATGTTATAACCATATAAGGACCTCTGAGATTATCAAGCATTAAATTAAGAGCAAGCTGATGGCGTTCAAGTCATTGGATATCTTTAATAAAAAAGTGACGCAATAGAAATTGTGTGGTGCTGTTGTGTATAAGTTCTGACCTTTCCCTTGCCCTCTTTGAGCTTCTTTGGTGCTATGGAGTATGATGCATGGGTCGAGATCAGGCGTGGAGAGGGGCGGTTTTCCAAATATTTTTTTCCAGTGATGCTCTCCACCCAGGGCACCCTTTGCCAGGACGGTATGGTCTTCACTGGAGTCAAATCCCCTCCACTGACAATCAGCGTCGTTATCTCCTGCATCCATGTGGTGCCTTTTTGGCCACGTGAATGGCACGCGTTCGTGACACAACAAACAACAAACGAGGCAAACTTATTCTGCTCAAATATGATGGCAATGTGAATGTGATATTGTAATGAGTGTGATGCGTTTATCACGTCGTTGGCCAAAATAACCAATATTTCAGTTTTCAGTTGCATTTATTTGGTATACTGTAGCCCTGTGAGCCATTCGGCTCTTGAATCGGGTGCAACCGCAACAAACAAAAAACATGAACAAGAAAACATCTTAAAGTGACTATGTGCAAACATAAAAATCCGGGAAAAAACAGCCCCACAGAGCTTTGGTAATTGTTAGCACTGTTTCCGGTTGCCTTCACATTATGGCTGTGGTTTTCTGGGTCTCCGTGCAAAAAAATGAGTGCCTTAAAACAATTACGGCGCTTTGAGATGCCATTTCTATGAATGACACGGCTATATTAGACATGTTTTCAGTAATAAGTTGTGGTTTTCCCATTCTACCATTGCTTCGGGATTTATATATTGAGCAACACTTTGTAGGAAATCAACAGAAGTAGACTTATTGAGAGACCGCTCACCCAGACATAAGAATGCCTACTTTCCACCACTATCTCATCAAAAGAGATGAGCACTTTCTGTTTTAATGTTTACTCTGACATAGCTCACATCTCAGCTAGAGGCTACCTGGTAGCCCCTGTCTCCTCCTACCTACCTGGTAGCCTCTAGCATGGGAGTGTAATGGGCACTCTCCTCGCCAATATGCGGAGACAGGTAAGGGCTCAAATCCTTTTAATCTAACCTTCTCTGTCACCTTTCCTTACCTGCAGTTTTCTCTCCATCCACAGCTCTCTCATCTCTCGTCACTCCTGCCGACGACCCCTCTAATCCCCACGGCCGCCTCTCCCATTCTCTCCCCCTCCCCAGTGCCGGATTCTCCTAGTAGCAAAAGTAGCTCCATATGTAAGTGGCTACGGACCCCGCACTTTCAAGGGCCCCGAACAAAATGCTTTTAGGGTATCAATTCCGGTTCAGTGCTTCTGCACTTGCTCTATTACTATAGTACTATACCGCATTCAACTTTTATGAACGACTGGGTGTTTAAGGTTAGCGATTTGTCGTATTATCTGGCTGTATAGCAAATGAAAAAATACAATTACTTTACGATGCAAGTTACTTTTTATATATATATTTACGTGTATTTTTGTTTATTTAGGGCCTCTTCATAGCATATGCTACAGGCCCTGCACTAGCTGAATCTGGCACTGCCCCTCCCCTCATCCCTGTCTCCTCCTACCCAGCCACCAATGCCCTATCTTTACATCTCGAACCATGCCCCCTCATCTTTAGCCACCAATTCTCTCTCTTCATAATTCGGGGTTACTCTCGGTCACCGCGGTGCAGGTATTGGCATCAGTGTGTACGGTGTAGGGAATGCCAATATTGTGGGGACCGTTATGGAGAATTGTTACAGGCGCCACGAACACGTGTTCTGTGCCCAGCAATGAGCATCCAGGGCCGTGTATGAGGTGTCTGCAAATTAGTTGAGAGGCTCTATTAGTTTCAGCAAAATGCAGAATAAATGCACCCGTTATTTTTTTATGGCAGGGGCTTTATTGAGTGAGGGACAACCACTGCTGCACGCATTTGATTTGCCCTGGAGAGATGACGGGCCGAGTCCAGTCCGCAGTGTTGACATTTCAGTTCATGTAAATTTTTTTTATATTTACCTGATTTGGGATAAGTCACCACAAAGACGTCATCGTCACGCACGTCAAAATCCTCCGAGTACTGCAGGCTTTCTGGTGTTTGTATACTGGTGGGGAAGCAAATGCCTTTGTATTCACTAAAAGTCTGGCAATCTGCGTTGCTGTTATTCTCTTCCATCGTCTGGAATATAAAAACAACAGGAACAGGTAATCGACATTTTTGTAAGGCGAGGCATACAGAGAGAATTGATCGCGTTAGAATAGAAAGTGCTGCGACTGTACAATCTAGTTGTGGACAATGCAGCAACGTTCGTTGAAGTCTCTTCTCTCGGCAGGGGCAATGGGACGCCCCTCGTTCCATGTCCCCACGGCTGAGTCGTTGGCGCGCCCTCGCGTAAACGGCAGCCTGGTTTTTTTTTCCTGTGTGCATTTTACTTATTACGGTAAAAGTTTGTTGAGCCAGCTGCGTATGTATGTGTTGCGCCATAACAAGGCGCTGTAAGCAGCTTACCTGCCACCACGCTCACGGGCCGACAGGGGGCAGCCGAGAGAGAGCGAGGTGTGTAGGGGTTGACCCAAGGTCAAACCCCCTCCCTCCTGGGGGGCCCGTGACCTGAGGTTGACACTCCAGACCCCCCAGGGGCTGGGGGCTGAGGGGGATGGGCTCCCCCCACCCCTTCCTAAGACCCCTTAAGATTTAAGACCCTCTAAGACCTTCCAGAAGGTTCTGGAGGGTGGGGGGGGGGGTTCATGAGGGGAGGGGTAAGCCCGACCTGGGGATAAAAAGCCGACCCTCTGAACGGGTCGGGCAGTGTTCGCCAACTCAAGCTTGAAGACATCTGAAGACCTGAAGACTGGACCAGCACCCGGGAACCCTCAACCGAGGCTCTCGCCAGAGCCGGGGTGTAGCGGACCAGAGGTGAGCTCGAACCCCCTGGGACCCTCCCCGAGGCTCTGGTCAGAGCCGGGGTGTAGCGGACCAGGGGTGAGCCCCGTACCCTGCCTGGGACGGGTCGGTCCAGTCTTCCCTTAGCTGCCGTGGCAAGGGACCGGTGTGTAGAGTAGCCCGGAGTGTGTAGGACGCACTAGAAGTGAGTGTTTACCTCCCTTAGGCTATCGGATTGAAGGGGTCATACCCCATCGTGTTACAGTTGCGATTAACAGAGTTGTTATGATAAACGCGTTGCCTCCAGCAGACGTCTCCGTGTGGTTAGTTGTAGACACAACATAACAAATACAGCACCACATCTGCTACATTAGACTCTCTGAATCACATTTACAGTAGCCTTGATAATAAGCAGTACTGTGCCTGTCTTTTTCTAGACCTGTCCAAAGCTTTTGATAGAGTATACCACAACACCCTGCTTAGTAGACTAAGTTGCCTCGGTTTTTCCGAAAACGCAGTAAAATGGTTACAAAATTACCTCTTTTCTCGCACCCAAACTGTATTCATAGATGGTTGGAGGTCAAACAGTGTTAAGATAACAAAAGGGGTTCCACAGAGTTCCATCTTCTGCCCCCTTTTGTTCTCTCTTTATGTCAATGACGCGGGCACTGACCTGGATCATTCCAGGGTAAATCTTCTTGCAGATGACACGATACTGATTACTGCTGGCCGCTCTCCGGATGACGTGATTGCTAAGCTACAGGGTGATTTCAACAAACTACAACATCAGCTAGTTGCTCTTAAACTAGTCCTGAATACCTCCAAAACCAAGGTGCTATGCTTCTCACCAGGACTAAAGCAGGAAGTTATTTTTCCCCAATTATATTCCTTAAATAATTATCAAATAGAGCAAGTCAAGATCTATAAGTATCTTGGGGTCATCCTGGATTCAAAACTTAATTTTTAAGATAACATTGATTATATTGGTAAAAAGACAAAAATAAAAATTGGTTTTCTGTATCGACACAAGCACTGCTTCCCCCCAATGTTCCGTTTGGAATTGATAAAAGCTACCATACTGCCTCTACTTGACTACTGTGACATCGTGTATAAATCAGCCCCAAGTACTGTACTGAAGAAGCTTGATTCCATCTATCACTCGGCCGAAAAGATTTACATTGAACTGCCCACATAGGACTCACCACTGTGATCTCTACATTGGGTCAAACTTAACATCTCTTAATGTTCAACAGCTTGTGCACCAGATCGTATTTATTCACGATGTACTTACAAAAAAATCCGCAGACTACCTGCTGGATCTCCTTTCTCTTTCAAAGAACAAATTTGACCTCAGGTCTTCGCTCATTTACCAGCTTCACATTCCCTATTGCCGTACAAAAACTGGACGAAGGGCCTTTGCTATTGATGCCCCCAGGGTCTGGAATGTTATTGCCAATAAACTGCAACTTGAATCGCTACCAATGAGATCTTCATCATTAGACCTCCTTTGCCAGTACCCTTTTTTCTGGCAACAAAACTGAAACCTTTTTACAAGGATTCATGTAACTGCATTAACCACAATACCTGCAGTCAAAATGCAAACAAAAAAACATACTATGATAATATATGCATTGTCCTTGAAACTGTATGGTCCACACCAAGGGACAGCTTCCTTTTGAGCCTCGACCCGATTGGTCGCCAAAAGGCGTCCTCTGGTCGAGCACCAATTGGGTCGAGGCTCAAAAAAAAGCCGTCCCTTGGTGTGGACCAATCAGTTTCAAGGACAATGCATCATATTATCATGGTATGTTTTTTTTGTTTGCATTTTGACTGCAAGTATTGTGGTTAATGCAGACATGAATCCTTGTAAAAAGGTTTCAGTTTTGTTGCCAGAAAAAAGGGGAAAAAACCCTATTATCAATGAGATCTTCTCTCAAAACCGCTCTACAGGAGTTGTACACCCCTAGCTGCCACTGCTATTCATTGGCGTAAAGTAAAATAAAATGTTTCGCTCCGGATGACGCTGCAAAGCATTATCTGTATTTTGATTTAGCGTGCTGATCTTGAAAGTGCATTGAAAAATTTGATGCTCCGACTGATGCTTCTGTTGTTGTGGAGTAACTCATGCAGCCAGCTATGGCTCTAGGATTTGGTGTTACATGTTATTTATGTAGTTTATTGTAAAAATTCTTGGTCAAAGTCCCTATGATCATTGCTACGTTGCAATTATGGCTTTATTTTTTGGTGATTTCGAAAACATGTTTTGTTTTGGACATGTTTGTCTTGTTGTAGTACCGAGTTAGACTTATGGCCCTAATATAAGTTTTCTTGTGGTTGTTGTTGTTGTTGTTTGACTTGCATCCCACTGGGATTTATTGCACACAGCGTTGGTGTACGGTGCTTTTTTCAGGAATATTTTGCTGTTTTTTTCATGGATTTTCTGTTTGCACAGTCACAGTCACTTTAAGATGTTTTCTTGTTCGTGTTTTTGTTTTTTTGTTTGTTGTGGTTGCACTCGATTCAAGAGCCGAATGGCTCACAGGGCTATACCAAAATAAAGAAACGGAATGTTGAACTTCTTTCGTACCGTACGTAGCCAACAGTGCTTATCGGAGCTGGCCAGGAATGGGGAAAAACATGGTCCACATTTCACTCAGGCAACAGGAGAGCACAGCGTGAACGTTACTAACCTAACATTCAAACTCACGGATCGCTTGGCGTGTCCTTACTCTTCTAGGCTGCCACGTCTTCACCAACCAGCACTGACCAGCGTGGTGAAGTACGGTCAAATAGCCCTGACCCACGCAGCGTGCGGTGGCCCTCACCGAGCGGTGGGTTCAAAAGACGATGCACATATATATGTCTAGACCATACAGGATGCAAAATAGGCTGTACAGGATGCCAAAAGTGTACAACGCTTTTCTCATACCCCTTCGCATAGGCCCCTCGTTATAACTCGCAAAATGTGCCATTGGAATGCAAGAGGTTAAGACGTGGTCTTCTGACTTTAAAAAAAAGATTCATCACTGCATAATACATGTGTTACATAATGTATTATGTAACCCAATGTATTATGTAATACAATGTACCAGGTAGGAGTTAATCTCTTGTTGACCCTTAGCCAGTAGTAGAAAGTTCACATTCTCATGCCAAATGTGATGCAATAAAGGTATTCCTGCCTTACACTACGATACCGTGTATAATTTGCAATGTTCTGAGAAACTGTTGGGGCCTAGGCTGTATGTAGGGCCTGTAATCCAGCACTGGAGGCGAGGATTGGTGGATCAGAACTAGATTTCGTGAGTCTGCCCTCCTACTCGTGGGGGTCAAGTTAATAATTTCCTTGATTACCAGGGTACGATGGCAGTACAGCAAGTAGGATTCATTTCCACCTGTATTCCATGTGTACGGGGGTTAAGTGTTTCCCCCTTCGCACGCATGCGTTTTCTCCAGGCACTCCACTTTCCTCCCATTGATAACGTTGGCCAAATATCCCAAAATACGGTTCAACGTACGGCACATACAATCGCTGTTGTATGTGCCGTTTGTTGAACTTCTTTCTCACCGTACATAGCCAATCGTGTTAATTGGAGGTGCAGGGGAAAGACAACAACTAACGACAAAAAGCAGTTATAAAGAAATTAGTTTTCAATCTAGATTTAAGAGTGCATAGCTTCTGTGACTTCCTAATATCTGAAGGAAACGCGCGATGCAGTCAGTGAGACCGTGTTTGTTGGCGTCCGTTCTACCATCATCATTGCCCTGAATTCGAACTTTTTGTTCGTAGAACACATAATTGTTCTTTTTGTTATCAGAGGCGTTCCCATGTGTCACATTTACAGCTTCTATGCAATGGTAATCTGTAAACTTACAAAGGCCATTTTTACGTGAACTTAGTACAATAATCAACAATGCTTTATCTGTTTAACACGTAGGCTTTCGCGACCAATATTATTCATAATAAAGGTTTTTGGGTTAGATCGCGTTATTTATAAATGTGTCGAAACCCTCCACCACCCGACACGGCCAATCAGCAAAAAAGTGTCACGTTGACAAAAGACAAATAGTTCACTACTTTAGCCCACCGGTGTGTTGAAGAGTGAATCCACAACATTTACAGTTTGAGTAGGACGTTTCGCTAGTAATTACATCCAGCATCATCGGGCAATTCGTCAGAATGGTAAAGCCCTCGCTTGCTCCCGGTCTTAAATAGAGCAGCAGGGTGACGTCATCATTTAACTCATTTCAGGTGCAGTGATTTGAGGCGGAGGGGGGGGGGTTTGTAATTATATAAT